ACAGGGGTCGCTGGATTCATAACAGTAGCAAAATTACAATGATGAAGTATCAACAAAAGTAATTTTATGGTTGGGGGGGTCCCCACAACATGAGGAACTGTATGAAAGGGTTGCGGCATTCGGAAGGTTGAGAACCACTGATGTGCATGATGCTAGACAGAAGAACCTACAAGACTGGTCCAGGGTCTTCCGACCAAGGCAGTCAGGGCATGACTCGTGACTATGCAACCCCCTGTACACTGACCTCCATCAAGGAAACACCCGGGCAAGCCACAAAGACTGCCTTTCCCTAGACTGGCCGGAGAAGGCTGGAAGTAGTCCACTTTCCACAGCACTCTGCCTGAGGACAGGACCATGCACATCCCTGGTTAACAGTCAGGAGGAATTCAAGGGAGGCTTAATCCGTGTGGGAACTCTGCCAGTGGGTTTTAGGCTTTCACTGTCATGCATAGCCTTCTGCAAAGGAGCGCCTCAGCATTTGACCCCTCATATAGCTCCAGCCAACCCCTTGTGCTACTGCTCTTATAGAACTGCCACATCACTAAGACCGTCATGCTGCTTGTTTCAAAATGTGTTGTTACAAACAATTGTTGCCACTATTACCCTTGCTCTCTTACTTTCTCATTCTCATTCACTCACTCATTCTTGCTTCAAAGTACATTTTAAAGTGGAGAAAGGTGGACACAGGGTTACCCAAACAAAACAAAACAACCTGTCACTTTGAAATATTTATAGATCATAAATCAAACTCTTGCATCATTAAAGCAAAACAATGGGGAATCGTTGCGCTATCCCTGTGGAGGTTGCTCCAGATTGGTTGGGTAGCTTCCCTGAGAGATCGCCTGTAGACAGGAGCCTCTGGAGCTGAGTGGCACACTCAAGGCCCAGGGTCCCACTAAGAGTCTGTGCTTTTATTGTGAGTCCAAGCCTGCAGGCACAAATAATCAGGCCAGGTCTGGGCTCCATGTGCCTGGGCAAGGGATGCAAGCCGGGACCACTGCTGAGTTTAACCTTCTGAAGTCAGCTGGAACCAGGAGGACTGAGCCAAAGAGTAGGAGGCGCTGGCAACACTGAGCTCTGAGTCTGGACCAGGTAGTTGCACGAGGTATCTGGCCACTTGTTTGATCGTGGGCAAAAGCAGCCAGGCCTACAGGCCTCATTCTTCCTTGGCTGCGTCATCTGACTGAGTCATATCACGTGTCTGAGCCTCAGCTCCCTCATCCTATTTCCTACAGCTATGTGAGTTTGATGAGAAAACACATTTCAAGTGTTCTGTGAATGCTAGCCATATTGACACGGGTATTCCTAGTTCTATTATTACTACCGCTAACCCCATCCTTTCATCTGGCTTGGACTGGTCTCTATGTATCTGAAGCCTGAGTCAGAGGTGATGTTGAGAAACAAAGGAGCATTAGGAGGGCCAGGGTCCAGGGCTGAAACGGGGACCCATTTGAAGGGCTCAATCTCACATGATGGCTTACTCCACCATCCTAAAGATCGTTGTGCCAACATAGTAACTAAAGTTCATATTGGAAGAGCTCTTCTCTAGGGAAAGTACTCAGAGAAGTAGCCCTTTCTGTTCCCCCTTCAGGCTGTGAACTTGCCATTCCCATCCCCAAAGGGATGTCACCAACCATGCCCCTGACAGCGGAGAGATTTGTCTCCTGCCTTTGAAACTCTCCTTTGCACCCCTTCACTGTGCACTATGTCTGTCCTTTAGGACCCAGCCCCAGCTCAGCTCCTCTAAGAAACTTCCACGGGCCCATCATATCTTCACTATCTCCTTGTGTGGATCCTCTGCCCACTGCTTTCTCAGGTGGCCGATGTCCCCTGCATACACAGAGCAGGGGTGATCTGGGGTTGCTAACTGACAGCACTATGGACACGGAGACTGAGCCACAAGTACTCAGAACGTTTCTTTGCGCCCAGACCTTTATTAAGGATCAACTATGTGCTAGCCATCTGTTCCAGGCAGTGGGTACCATGCTTGACTAATACCCTCCCATTTGGGATTGCAGTCAATGGGGAAGGCAGATATTGGAAACTAATCCGTTTGACAATAAATAGCATAATGAAGAATAATTGGAAGCTTTGAGCAACTGCGAGGGAGGGTGATGTAGATGGTACAGTCGGTCAGGGAAGGCAATGTCTGGGTATCAATGACAATCCTGACATCTCAGTAGGAGTTAGGGAGCTAGCGCGTGGAAAGCACCTGGGAAAAGTGGAGCAGGAACTTGGGTTATTCAAAGAAGAGACAGAGGCTGGAGTGGACGCCCTTGGTCGGGCCTTGGAGACCAGGCTTTCTTTTGTAAGGCGCCTTCAAGTTGGTTCCAACTCATAGCGACCTGATGTACAATGGATCAGAACCCTGCGCCACCCTCCCATTGCTTTGATGTTTGAGGCCCTGGTTGCAGGCACTGTGTCCATGCATCTTGTCCAGGGCCTTTCTCTTCTTCACTGCCCTTCTACTGTCCAAGCATGACGCCCTTTTCAGTGACTCGTCTCTCTTCATCATGTGGCTGACATCTGTGAGACCAAGTCTTGCCATCCTTGCTTCTAAGGATCCTTCCGGCTCTTTCTTCCCAAACAGATTTGTTGGCTGTTTTGCCAGTCCAGGGACTTTCACTATTCTTCTCCAGCACCACAATGTCAATGCGCTGATTCTTCTTCGTCTGCCTTGTTCACTGTCCAGCTTTCACATGGATCACAGGCAATTGGAAATAACACGAGCTGGCATGGCTTTGTCTTCAAAGGTGACACCCCTGCTTTTCCAGAGGTCCTTTAAAGCAGATTCACCCAATGCCATGCATCGTTTGCTTTCTTAACTGCTGCTTCCACGAGCATTGATTGTGGATCCAAGCAAGACAAATCCTTGACAACTTCAATCTTTTCTCCATCTATCATGATGTTACCTATTGTTCTAGTTGTGTAGATTTGGAGTTTCTTTACAGTAATTTGTAATCCATATTGAAGCCTCCAATACTTGATCTTCATCAGCAAGAGCTTCAAGTCCTCCTCACTTTCAGCAAGCAAAGTTGTGTCATCTGCTTATCAAAGGCGATTAATAAGCCTTCTTCCAATCTTGAGGCCACATTCTTCTTCATATAATCTGGTTTCTCTGAGCATTTGCTCAGCATACAGATTGAATAAGTATGGTGAGAAGATACAACCCTGGTACACACCTTCCTGATTTTTAAACTATGCAGAATTCTCTTCTGCTTTCACAGCTGCCTCTTTTTTTAAAAAAAATAATTTTATTTGGGGCTCGTACAACTCTTATCACAATCCATACACACATCCATTGTATCAAGCATTTTTGTACATCTGTTTCCCTCATTATTCTCAAAACATTTGCTTTCTACTTGAGCCCTTCATATCAGCTCATTTTCCCCTCCCTCCTGCTCCCCCCTCGCCCATGAACTCTTGATAATTTATAAATTAATATTTTGTCATATCTTACACCATCTGATGTCTCCCTTCACCCACTTCTCCACTGTCCATCCCCCAGGGAGGAGGTTATATGTAGATCCTTGTAATCTCTTCCCCCTTTCTACCCTACCTTCCCTCCACCCTCCCAGTATCACCACTCTCACCACTGGTCCTGAGGAGTTCATCTGTCCTGGATTCCCTGTGTTTCCAGTTCCTATCTGTACCAGCGTACATCCTCCGGTTCAGCCAGATTTGTAAGGTAGAATTGGGATCATGATAGTGGGGGGAGGAAGCATTCAAGAACTATAGGAAAAATGTATGTTTGATCATTGCTACTCTGCACCCTGACTGGCTTCACAACTGTTTCTTGATCCACGTACAGGTTCTCCATGAGCACAATGAAGTGTCCTGGAATTCTCATTCTTCTTGAAGTTATCCATAGTTTGTTATGATCCACACAGTCAATGCCTGTGCATAGTCAATAAAATACAAGTAAATCTCTCTCTGGCATTCTCTGTTATCAGCCAAGATCCATCTGACATGAGCAACGATATCCCCTTTTTCCATGTCCTATCCTGGATCCAACCTGAACATCTGGCAGCTCCCTGTCAATGTTCTACTGCCACTGTTGTTAGGTGGTTCTCAACAAAATTTTAGTTGAATGAGATATCAGTGATATTGTTCTATAATTTGTGCATTCTGTTGGATCACCTTTCCTGGAATGAGGAGAATTATGGATCTCTTTCAGTCAGTTGGCCAAGTAGCTGTCTTCCAAATTTCCTGACATAGATAAATGAGTGTTTCCAGTGCTTCATCAGCTTGTTAAAACATTTAAATTCATATTTCAACAATTGCTTGAGCCTTGTTTTGGGCTAAGGCTTTCGGGTGCAGCTTGAAGTTCTTTGTTGGCACCATTGATTCTTGCTCCTATGCTACCTCCTGAAACGGTGGGATGTCAGCTAGTTCTTTTTGGTGCAGTGAGTTGGATTTTTGTCTTCCATCTTCTTCTTGCAGCATTCAACATTCTGCCCAGAGGATCCTTCCATATTTCAGCTCAGGGCTTGCAGTTTTTCCTCAGTTTCTTGAGTTTAAGATGTGCTGGCATTTCATTCGCACCTCTTTCAAAAGGCTCAGGGAGTCCAGAGTGGACTGGGGTGGGCAATGCCTGCACTGTCGTGGGGTCTCAGCAACTGGGGCGCTGTCTGGGTGAGCATGGAGGGCTTCAGATCCCAGACACAAATTGTGTTCCTTTGTAAAATGCCGCTGAACTCTAGCCGGAGACAGACGATGGAATGTGGAAGGGGAGGTCCACAAACACTGGGTCCCTGGCGTGTGTGCTGGGCGCTCGGCACAACTTCCCAGCAAGGCCAGGATGATCACCTTAGATGTGGCAACTGAGGCACAGAGAAGACATGCTGGCTGTCCCACGCTCACTCAACTGGCTGGGGACAGATATCAAAGCTGGGGCTAACACCTTGGTATATCTAGAATCTCTCTCCTACTGGAACGATGCTCAATGATTCCTGGGTGTGAAGGACTCATTGCTCTGGCCCGACCTTGTGTCTTTACAGAGAGTAGCCTGGAGGATACAGACCACAGTTGTTGTTCTCCCGTTGAAGGAGACCTGGAAAAACAGGCCAACAAGTGTAAAGGTAACCCTTGAGTGGGAGGTTGAAGTTCCAATTGGTGGGAGGCAAACCCTCTCCCTTCTGCCCTTAACAGCCCCCAGGATCTACTATCTAATATTAATGGCAGAGAATTTCATTGGCTTCCTGTTTCTCTTAAGAACTGGGTTTCTGGAACCTGAACTAATGGGAATGAGAACCAAGTGGGACTTCTTCGTCCTCGTCCCCAACTCCCCGTCCCGCTCTTGTAATAGGAAATATGGCAGAAGCCAGCCCAGGCCTGGAATGGCAGCCCCGTCATGTCATTCCGGGGGGCCTGCTCCCAAGTCTTCCTGCATGGTCACAAGGTGGATGCTGCGGTGGGCCCAGTCACATCTGCAGGAAGAGGCCAAGGGAAGGTCACAGGTGCTCAGCAGCCCAGTCAGCCCTCTCAGGGAAAGGATTCCTTCCAGAACTCCCCCTGCCTCCCGCAGCAATTTCTGTCTTCATTCCATTGGCCAGACGTTTATCTCATGGCCACTAGCATCTGCAGGGAAGACAGAAATGTTGCTATTCCGCTGGGCACACTTGTTGGGGAAGGAATATTGTAGGCAGCTGGCTGCATGTGCCTCATTCGGACCCTCATGTAGGCTTATCTTTCACATTAAATATTCCCCCATTCACCTGACTGCAGTGCACTTCCTCTTTTGTCAAGTTCATCTCCAAGTAACTACTATAGCCACGTGACCTTAGGTGAGTCTTCTCATCTCTCTGTGCCTTCGTTTTCTCCTTGGTAAAATGGGAGTGGAATTCATTCCTGCCCATGGGCTGGTTTTGAGAAAGGACAGTGCTCCATCTGACATGTGGTGCACGTGCAGGCTTGGGAACCACCTGTCCTTGATTTCTTTGATGGAGAAGTAGGACAACAGTGCCCACGGGAGTGAAGGGCTGGTGTAGTGACCGAATGACTCTTGCCAGGGTAGTGACAGAAGGACCCTCTGAACCAAGCATCTCACAATCCCAAACTTCAGGCAAATGCCTTTGGTTTCAGACCAGTGAGAGAGCGTAAGGATGGGGACTGGTGGTTGCCAATTCCTGCCCACACACCATCCTTATCCAGGCCACCTGCCCCATCTCTACATCCTCAGACGAGTCCACCTCACATGGGCTCTCCCTCGGGCTTCTCTTCGCGCTCCCTCAATCCCACCTGACCAGTCTCCTCTTTCACATGCCTAATAATTCGGATCTACCAGTGTCACGCTGTCCACCCCCTTTTACCGAGGTTCTTGTAGACTTAATATTTTTCTTTTGGGTCCCTTTTACGGCCTGGATTGGGGATAGGGGAAAGCAAGCCCATCTGCTCAGGTCACATCCTAATCTGGTCTCCTGACTTCCCTAAATCTGACAGAGAGGCTCTCTGCAAAGCTATTCTTGAATCTCTTCTGAAACCTAAATGGTCATGGATGGAACCGGATTCACTCCTTCAGGAGTCTCTCGCCAGGCTTTGCTCTCGCCCAGTTCCTGAGGAGTACCAGACTAGCATGGTCCAGTCTCCGAAGTCCAGACACCACCCTCCTCCCCATGGGAGGCTCCACCCACCAGCATCTTCAGAGCTTCTCCCTCCAATCTTTTATCTACATCCAGAGAGCAGACATTGATTCTGTTCACTCTGAGGTTCAGATTGAGCATTCTAGACAAGAATGTCTCAGAAATGAGGCAGGGGCCATAGCGGCAGACACATACATGCCCCTATGGTTTGTCAGTTTGCCGTACTGTGGTGAGTTGCCTGTTATTATGAGTTTAGAAGCTTTGTGACTGGTATTTGGGATACCAGCAAAGCTTCCAGATGAAGAACAGACTATGAAGAAGGTGTAGGCTGTCCACATTGGAGGGTTTAGCCATTGGAAAACCTTACGAACAATAATGGAATGCTGTCAGATGTCGTGCTGGCAGATGAGCCCATCAGGTTGACAGGGCTTCAAAGTAGGACGGAGGAAGAACTACCGTATCAAAGTAGAGCTGAGCATAACAAGGATGAAGTAAAGCTCTCGGGACCTCCATTTGTTAGTTCCAGGCTGAAGTTGAAACAAATCCAAGAAAGCCAAAATACAACCTTGAGTAGATCTTACTTGAATTTTGAGAACATCTCCAGAACAGATTAGAATCACCAAACATGAATGACAGAAGTACTGACGAGCTGCAGGATGATCCAGAACATCATTCCTGAAGAAAGCACAAGGCGACTCAAAGGACAAGAAAGAACAAAATGTCAAAGTGGAGGTCAGAAGAGCCTCTGAAGCCTGCTTTTTAAGCAAATGGAAGAAACGGTGAGGTAGACAGAGCAGAAAACTTCAAAGGGCAGCTCGAGAAGAAAGCCCCCAAAAAAGGAAATACGCACACAACATATATTCAGCTGAAAGAATTGAAGAAAAAAAATCCAAGCCTCAAGTTGTATTATTGAAGGAATCTACAGACACAATACTAATCTATGCAGGAACCGCCGAAAGAAAATGGAAGGAATACAGAGTCACTGTTCCAATAAGAACTGACTGATACTCAACCATTTCAAGAGGTAACATAATGAAGAACCAATAGTACCGAAGGAGGAATTCCAAGTTACACTGAATGCATTAGTAACAAACAAGGCTCCAGGAACTGACAAAATGCCAATGGAAATGTGTCAACAAGCTGATGAAGCACTGGAAACACTTGCTTGTTTGTGTCAAGAAATTTGGAAGACAGTTACCTGACCAACTGACTGGAAGAGATCCATATGTGCCATTCCAAAGAAATGTGACCCAACAGAATTTGGGAATTATCCAACAATATCATTAACATCACATTAAGGAAATTTTTGCTGAAGCGGACTCAACATTTTAACAGTGCATTGGCTGGAAGCTGAAATTCAACAGATTCAGAAGACATGTTGTATGAAGGATATTCTTGCTGGCATCAGATGGATTTGTACTAAAAGCGGAGAATTTCAGAAAGATGTTTACTCGTGCTGTATTTATTTCACATAGGCATTCATCTATGTGAATTATACAAATATGGAAAACATCGAGAAGAATGGGGATTCCAGAACACACAATTGTTCCCATGGACCTATACATGGTCCAAGAAAAGCAACAACAACAAAGATCATTCAGACAAAACAAGGGAACGTTATATTGAGTGGTTTAAAATTAGAGAAGGTGTGCATTTTGCCATACTTCTTCAATCTGTACGCTGAACAAATCATCAGAATCTGGACCATGTGAAAAAGAACCCGGCGTCAGGATGGGAGAAAGGCGTAGTAACAACCTGTGCTATGCAAATGATCTTACCTGGCTTGCTGACAGCGAGGAGGACTTGAAGCCCTTGCTGATGAAGATCGAGGACCACAGCCTTCAGTGTGGATGGCAACGCAATGTAAGAGATCTAGTTATCTCATGTCTAGTTATCTTCATAACTAGACAACATAATGTGTATCAGAGCAGAGATCGAAGTTGTCAAGAATTTCATCTTGCTTGGGTCCACACTCAGTGCTTCTAGAAGCAGCCGTCAGAAAATCAAGTGATGCGTTGCATTAGATAAATCTGTTGCATAAAACCGTGGATGTTACTAAGCTGTACCTGATCCAAACCATAGTATTTTCAGCTGCACAATATGCATGTAAAAGATAAACAACCAGTAAGAAAAATCAGAGAAGAACTGATGCATTTGAATTACGGTGTTGGTGAAAAATATTGAAACTACCCTAGGGTTGCTATGAATCAGCTTCGACTTGGAATAAGGATGGAGAGAGTTCATCTCGCTTACTGCGGACCTGTTATCAGGAAAGACCAGCGAGACGAGGTCTCCACCCTGCTTTCGAAGGAGCAGTCTGGCTGTACGTCTTCTAAGACAGATTTGTGTGTACTTCTGGCCACTGCCATTCAGTCGATTTGGATTCATCGTCACCACTGCCCGTGCCACAGCTGCGGGGACTGGGGGGAAACAAGAAGCCTTAGCCATATTTGTGTATAAGGTTCATAAAGCATTTGTAACATTTTTATACAAAGATGCTTTTAAAAACAAACAAAAAGACGATGTGACAATATTTAAAATGTGTATTGAAAAATACTAGAAGAAAAAAACCCACATATACAATCAGCAACTGTTTCAAAGTAGAGGAATTGTTTCTTCATCGAACTCTCTTTGACTTTTGAGTTCTTTCTTTTTTTTTTAAGTCAATTTATTGGGGCTCATAAAATTCATCACAATACATAGATCAATTGTGTAAAGCACATCTATACATTTGTTGCCCTCATTATTCCCAAAATTCGCTTGCCTCTTGGGTTCCCGGAATCAGCTCATTTTCCTTTCCCCCCTCCCCCTCCCTTCCTCTGCCCCCCTCGACTTTTGAGTTATTTCTACAGAGAATCCCGTTTCCTCTAAACCAAGGGTCAAAATCACCCCACAAAGGCCCTGTCATCAAGTCGATTCTGACTCGGAATGACCCTGTACAGCATTGGTCCTCCGAGACCCTTTCACACAGCTCCTCATGTGGTGGTGACCCCAACCATACAATATTCTTGTTGCTACTTCATAACTGTCATTTTGCTACTGTTATGAATTGGGCGACCCCTGTGAAAGGGTCATTCGATCCCCAAAGGGGTCACGACCCACAGGTTGAGAACCACTGCTATACAGGATTTCTAAGCTTTTACAGGAGCAAATTGCCTCGTCTTTTTCTGTGGGACCTTACCTTTTAAGTCTTCCACTTCCCCACACCAGGAGCCCCAGTGGTAGAGTGATGATGTGTTGGGCTGCTGACCTCAAGGTCAGCAGTTCAAAACCCCAGGAGAGAGACGGGCTCTCAACCCCTGTCAAGAGTTCCAGTCTTGGAAAACTCACAGGGCCAGTGATGCCTTGTCTTATGAATCTTGTTTCGTTTGGGGTGTTTTCCCAAAGACTAGGAGCAGGTTTGCCCCCCGCCCCACCCCACCCCTCCCGCCAGGTTTGGCCCTCCCTGAGACAGTTACTCTCAGCCTGGAGGCAATTGAGGTACTCGCTCACCTGCCAACCTCTCCCCCAGCACTGGTGGCCAGCAAAGTGGAACCTCTGGATTTCATCACTGGCCAGTTCCTGCCTTGCCCTCCAGGCCCTGGTACTTTGCCTCCCTGGGCACCTGTACCACCACCTTATCCCCCATCCCCACCCCTCCAGCCTGGCCTTCCCCTGGAGGATTCCTGAGATTTCTGAAAGCAAGCAAGCAAACAGAAAGACAGACTCACTGCTCACCGTCACAGGCACAGGGAGCCTTCTGCATGGGAACAGGCAGGTCGGGACAGCTGCTGGCAGAATCACAGGCAGCGATGTGCCCCTTTTGCGCCGGTGTCCCTGAGTCTTTATCAAGAGGGGATAGTGGTGGTGGTGTGACCGATTACAGGGACGCAGCAGACACTGAGCAACACAAGCTATGCCCATGAGGGTCCTTACCAGTCCTGGCGTCTGAGCCCACTCCACGCTACGAAGGCGAAGACAGAAAAGACACCGGCCCAGACCGCTGAGCAGTCTGTGGGGCCATCCCGGGGCCATTCACAGAGTCTCCGTGCACCTGCTCTAGGCCCGCTGTGCTGGCTGGGAGGCAGCTGCCCCTGCACACCCCTCTCACCCCCAGGCCCAACCAAGGCGGCGTCTTCCCGAGTGCCTGCGCTTGCTCCAGATCATTCCATGAACCCTTTCCACTTGTCCGGAGACGTGGATTTCTTCTTGCTGAGAGACCAGGAAAGAGATAAAGCTCGATTGGTGAGTACCCAGCCCTGGCGCTGGGACACCGCCCCCCACCACCACACACACCGCTTCCTGCTCCCAGAACCAGAGTTTCCTGCTCAGAGCACCACGTGCCCTGGGTCACTCCGAAGTCAGCCTGGAGCTTTTCCTGATTCAACGTGTCTGGCCTGCTCTCCATCTCACCCCGTCTGGTCCCACACTATTTCTGGGCTTCTAACATGGTGGATCCCTTCCTCCTGGTGCCCAGCCTAGACCCTAGCCTAGACCCTAGTAATAGACCCTGGTGCCTAGGACACCCTGGCTGGCTCCCATACCCCTGAGTGGGAGGGTTTGCATAGGTCTGCCCGGACTGGGAGTTGAGTCTACACACAGAAGAATCAGGGGTCAGGGAAGGGGAGGGCAGGGCAGGCAAGGGAGAGGAGGCCTGAGGGTGGGCTCCTTAGACCTCCATGTGTTAACACTGCAGACACAGCCCCCGCAGCCCCTGCTGCTCCCTGCACACCCCCCCTCCCCCAAGACCTCTGTCCTCCAAAGCCACACCTGACTGTATTGTCCCGTGCCCCTCCTGATCACCTTCTTCACGGGCCACCCTGACTGCTCAGACTCCTGCCACCGGAGTTCCTGGACATCAAAGAGCCATACAGAGGTGTGCATGCATGTGCACACACAAGCCCCTCAGCCATGCCTGGCAGTTGCCCAGGGCCAGCTCCAACCCACAGGCCAACAAGGTCTCTCCTGCTTTCCCATCCCTGAAACCCATGTGCTCTGAGAGGTCGTGCTAGTGTCTCGGAGCTCCGTGGCCACAGGAAGTGGCTAGGTGGGTCAGGAGTCTTGTGCCTCCTTGCTCCGACTGGGAGCCTCCCCTAGTCTGGGTGAGAGGGGCACGCTGCTCTTGCCCATGCACGAAGGCAGCACGCCTAGTGACTGCCTCCACATTCGACCAGGGTCCCAGGCCCTCCACGGCAGACATGCAGACTGTCTCCTAGACCCGTGCCCTAGAGCTGTGGTGCTCCGGGAGCTGCCCCTGCCTGCCTCCAGCAACACTTGGGAACTTGGGACCTTGTTGGCCTGTCCCAGATGAATAGACTCAGCCAAACGCTGGGTGGAAGGAGCTCAGGGAGCTGCCTGTGTAGCTGGTCACGCCTAGGAGAGGCTCCCCTGGGAGCATCTGTCACCCCGAGGTGCTGTGGCCTCCACGTCTCTGTGCCTTCCTTAGTGGACGTGGAGGAGTAAGCACAAGCCCCAGGTCACTATCTTGGACCTCAGCCTTGGGAATCCTCCCTTTCTTCTCTCTATTTCAGGCTTTTCATCTTCTCTCTGACTCTGCTCAGCCTCAGGCCTCCTCTCCCTGCCCTGCCCTGCCCTCCCCTTCCCTGACCCCTGATTCTTCTGTGTGTAGACTCAACTCCCAGTCCGGGCAAGGCAGACCTCTGCAAACCCTCCCTCCCAGGGGCATGGGAGCCAGCCAGGGTGTCCTAGGCACCAGGGTCTAGTACAGAGGGCTGGGCACCAGAAGGAAGGGATCCAGCTATTGTCAGAGACCTGCCCTTGGGGGAGGAGGGCAAGGGGGCAGGGGGGTCCAGAGCAGAGCAGGAGGAGTAGATAGGGGGTGTGGGGTAAGTGGAGAAAACTGTCAGATTTCTCTTGGAAACTCAGAAGATCCAATTTAGCAAACCAAACCACAGGAAGCCCAGGTAAATTTGGATTTCAAATGGGAAAAAAAAAAAAAAAGGAATCCCCTTTTAGTATAAATATGAGAGGGCTTCATAAAGTCTGTGGGAAAATGAAACGAAAAGACAATGGAATATTTCCAGAAACATTTTGAAGCCCACTTGTATATCCCATACAATAATGATCTGACCGTGAAGTTGAACTAGGAGGCCTGCATTTTGTCTGGAGCTCAGCCTGGCCCCGATCCTTGGGTGGCCAGTGGAGTGACCTGGAGGCAGTTGTCCCACTGGTGGCCTGTGTCTTTCCACTTGCCTGTGGCAATCAGCTCACATCCAGATGGGTCCTAAGGGACGGTTGTCTCATTGAAGGGAATAATTAAACGCATCAGGCAAAGCATGCAAGGGCTCACCTCTTCCATCGCAGCAGAAACCAGAAAGAGAGAGAGCTAATCTATTTGTTTACAGGCTTATATATTCTCAGGACATGCAGACCTCATTAATTACATACGTCGCAAGGTGGGCAATATCTCAACCCTAGAGGTGCCTGAGCTCACTGTGGGGAGAAACCTAATACTAGCACTGGGGCAGGCAGAGGGGAGTCCACTGCCCCTTGAGCAGGGAGAACAAAAGACACACGTCTGCTCCTATAGATAAAGGTCGGATAGTGATCCATCAGGTGACATTAAGGTAGCACTATAATGGGAGCATATAGTGGGGATGATTTTTAATTAGGAGACTGGGACTGGGACTCATCTCCAACTCACACATGTGAAGGCCTCCCTCCCTCCAGCATCCTGGCCTTCCAGGCTTCTTAAGCGGGAGAATAAAGAATGTGTCCGCATCCTCTCTCTTCCCCTTCCTCGGTTTCCCACACTTGCCATTCTGCTCACCCCAGTGCTTGCAATCACTCCCTTGTTACATAGCCCCTTCTTCACCCCAACCATAAGCCCGAGGCACCTGTGGGAGGAGAGAGGGTAGCAGAGCCTTCCGGGTCTGAAGCAGGAAGCAACACCCTGCTGTGGTCCATCCCCAGGAGCGGGAACAGAAGAAAACCATGCTGATGCATGAGAAGATGACCTACTCGTCCAAGGTCTCCACCAAGCACACCAGCCTGCGGCGGGAGTTGCAGCTGGAGGACAAAGAGGTGGAGAGGGAGCTGCTGGCGGAGACTGAGCCACTGCGGGCCTTCCGGGACAACACTGCCTGGAAGCTGGCCGTCACCAAAGGTAGTTCTCCTTCGATCCCCAGGACCAGCCTTCCCATGACTGTGACTCTGAGCAGGCTCAGATCCTGCAGGGGCAGGGGGAAGAGGCAGGGGCGGGCCCTGTTTCCATAGAAGCTGGAATTTAAGTGCCATTTGCCATGAAGTGTTGATGGGGGGCATTGAATGAAATGGGGTCGGCTTCATCAGATGCCTGTGTGGGAATAAAAAGGATCGGACCCCCTCCTTCACACTGATCACAAATATCACTCCAGGTGGAGGGCAACGTTTGGGCATTTGTCTAGAGGAATCACTTGGGCATTTGAATCACAGTGACGGTTTGCCTTCTGAATAGCCGCCAACACAATGAATGCAGCTGCTAAGATGCCAAACACAGGCAGTTTGGCTCGGTGGTTAAGATGCCAAACACAGGCAGTTTGGCTCGGTGGCTAAGATGCCAAACACAGGCAGTTTGGCTCGGTGGCTAAGATGCCAAACACAGGCAGTTTGGCTCGGTGG